GGGGGCCCGGGGGACCCAGCAGGCGGGCGGCGGCGCACCCGAGGGCCGGAGCGCGACAGAAACGCCGGCGGGTCCGCAGCTGACTCCGTCCCCTTCCCCCTCCGCTACCCTGCCCCGGCCCCATCCCCCCGCGTCCCCGCCCCCCCGTGAGGCCGGAGACGGCGGCGGCGTCTGCGGGAAGCCGAGTGTCTCCGCAGTGACGTGGGCGGGCCAGGGCTCGGTGACGTCAGGCCGTGTGTAGCGATGTGTGGGTTCGGAGCGGCGCCGGCACAGCTGAAGGCGGCGGGCGAGCGGCGGCGGCGGCGGCGGGCGCAGGTGCGGCAGGACGAGCAGGGGACGCGGTGGGGGTGGCTGGGGGCGCGGGGCGCGCGGCCTTTGGGGGCAGACGGCGGCGACGGGGGCGGCGGGGAGTTAACAAAGCTCCGGCTCCCAGGGCGCCGAGGCCCGAGCTGGGGGTCCGGATGCGCTCGTCCCGGGTGGGGTCGGGGCCAGAGAGGGGCGCGGGCGCGTGTCCCACCGCGGACCCTGAAGGCCCCGGGCCGGGCAAGGGCGCTGCACTTGACCGGAGCCGTGGGGGCCTCCGACACCCGGACGGCGCCGCTGCCCCTCCCCCGCCCCAGCGCCCAGCCGGGATGCCCGGGGCTCGGCCCCACAGGGTAGCGCGGGCGCGGGATTCGGCTCGGCGCCCGGTCCTCCCGCGGTCCCTCTTGGTGCTGGCCCGGGGCGTAGGGGGTGGGGGCCAACCGTAGTGGAGCTGTGGTAACACCCAAGAACTTCCCGGGGCGCGGGCGAGCGGGGGATTTCCACGGCCCTGCCCTCAGCCCCGCAGTGGGTGGCGTCGGGAGGGCACTCGGGGTGACCCCAAGAAGAGGGTGGGGGCTGGGGCCGCCCCGCGCGTCCCTCTGCTTCTTGCACCCCCGGGCTGCCCCGCGTGCGCCTCCTCTGGGGCTGGGGGTGGCTTTCGTGGGCGGAGAAGTTTAGGGTGCTAGGGCTCCCCGCTTCATGGTGCCTCTTGCCTTTCCCGTGGCCGCGTTGGCCGAGGTGTCCCGTGGTGGCGAGAGTCGGTATGGAGCTCTAGTGGCCTGGGTCCTAGGCTCTTCGTTTGTTTCAAGGTAAATTGCTAGGAAGGTGGAAAGCAAAAATTCGTGTTTATTGGATTTCCTTTGGGTTTTTTTCTCAAGAAGGAAGTGGAAGAAGTCTTCTCTGCCTCCATTTGCATTCTTTGTGAGATTTGGCTGCCTGGTGCTTTTGTCCCAGATCAGTCTTGTTCATGGATGGAGGTTACCAGACATAGACTCTGGCTTGTGGCTTCTATTAAGCACAGTCACTAACCTTTTAAAGGGAAAGTTAATTTTTGCCTATAATCGGTCCAGAGAAGTAGCATACACTGACTGGATGGATTAATACACTTAAAATTGTTAAGTTACGTTTGGTGGGTATGTTAACTCCTTATCTCTCATTTTTTTTCATGTTAAACGGTGGTTTTTTTTTTTTTAATTGAGGAACAAAGTAACGGGTTACTTTTTACTTAAAATGGCATAACTGAGAAAGCCTCTGGTAACTGAGTTTGGGGTGAAATTATCTGTTTAAGGGTCTTCATGTTCTGAACTGGAGTATCAGCCTTTTTTGTGGGAGCTTGCTCCCTTTACCCACCTTTAGTTGCTTTTTTATGTAAATGAAGGTTCTAGGAAACTGGTGTTAGATTTACAGAAATCACTCAAGTGTCACCTTTGGTAAAGTGAACTCAGTTTTAGGATTAAGAAACTGGTTTCAAACTGACCCTTTGGCATCTGGAGCAAATTCAAATGTAACTCTCCCCCCCCCATTTTTCTTTTTCCAGACTAATTAAAAGAAGAAGAAACTATAATCCTGGATGATAACTGGGCAGTTTTTTGTTAAGTTATTGCTGTCAATTGCAGAAGTTCAAGAGGAGTCAGAGGCTGTGAGGATTTACAGCAATCTTCAGTTTTCCAGCACAAACCGGCAGACCGGCATTTTTTATGGGAGATATTCCCTGAGCCCCTGATTTTGGTGGCTTTGGCAGAAATTAAATTTGGTTGCATCATTTTGACTTGTGTTTGAGTCTGGATTGTATGACACAAGTATTACATAAACTTTCCGCGTATTTTGCTTGTATCAGCCAAATCATTACATTGCACCTGAATATCTGAATTGAGGAATTAGTAACTTTGTTTCAATACTCATAGCTGAAGCAATTCAAGAAAACAAAGTCTTCCTCAGAGGTGTACTGCTTAAAATTATATTTATTCAGAGGCAAAAGAAGAAATTTTATAGCATTTGTAGTGAAGTTATACTAGATTATAAACAGAACCAAAACAAAGTTGTGAATTCTGCTGAAGAATTTAAAGAGCTCTTTCTCTGGAAATTTAGATTTTCTGTGAGAGTATGTATCATAAGCATTTGTATATGTTGCTTTTTTCTCTTCAAATAAGCAACTAAATAAAAATGCAAATCTCAGGCTTAATTATTTAACAGAATAGCATAGCAATGGAAAACCTACAGACTAATTTCTCCTTAGTTCAGGGCTCAAATAAAAAACTGAACGGGATGGGAGATGATGGCAGCCCTCCAGCGAAGAGAATGATGACAGACATTCGTGCAAATGGAAGAGTGATCAGCAAGGTGCCGGCGGTTAAGGAGAAGCGCATGGACGACTGTGCGCAGAGTCCCGGGGAACCCACCGGGGAGCACGGCAGGCGCGCCCGTGCCTCTGTGCCTGAGCCTTTCAGTCTGAATCCCAGTTTGAATCACACATTGGCATAGTTCCACCTGAGCAGTCAGAGCTCCCTGGGTGGACCAGCGGCGTTCTCTGCCCGCTATTCCCAAGAAAGTATGTCACCCACTGTGTTCCTGCCTCTGCCCTCCCCTCAGGTTCTCCCTGGCCCTCTGCTCATCCCTCCCGACAGCTCCACAGAGCTCACCCAGACCGTGCTGGAAGGGGAGTCTATTTCTTGTTTTCAAGTTGGAGGAGAAAAGAGACTCTGTTTGCCCCAAGTCTTAAACTCTGTTCTCCGAGAATTTACACTCCAGCAGATAAACACAGTGTGTGATGAACTGTACATATACTGTTCCAGATGTACTTCAGACCAGCTCCACATCCTGAAGGTCCTGGGAATCCTCCCGTTCACCGCCCCATCCTGTGGGCTGATCACCTTAACTGATGCACAAAGATTATGTAACGCTTTATTGCGGCCAAGAACTTTTCCTCAAAATGGTAGCATACTTCCTGCTAAAAACTCCTTGGCCCAGTTAAAGGAAACTGGCAGTGCCTTTGAAGTGGAGCATGAGTGTCTGGGCAAATGTCAGGGTCTGTTTGCACCCCAGTTTTATGTTCAGCCCGATGCTCCGTGTATCCAGTGTCTGGAGTGCTGCGGGATGTTCGCGCCCCAGACCTTCGTGATGCATTCCCACAGGTCACCTGACAAGAGGACTTGCCACTGGGGCTTTGAATCAGCCAAATGGCATTGCTATCTTCACGTGAACCAAAAATACTTAGGGACACCTGAAGAAAAGAAACTAAAGATAATTTTGGAAGAAATGAAGGAGAAATTTAGCATGAGAAATGGGAAGAGAAGTCAATCCAAGGCAAGTCTGTTCTCGTAGACAGTGAGTTTGAGCAGTGGTGTGATTTACTTTGACAGCAAAAGTCTGTGTTTCAGGTGTAACTTAAACCTGTGTTAAGAAACTTACCTCCCGTGAGATAACAAATACTGATCAATATGTTGATATTGCTGTTCAGGCTGTAAAGTGCTTTCCTGTGTGCTTGCTCATTTGACTTTCCAAACAAGCTGATGAGAGCAGTAGGGTGACTCTCCCATTTTACAGATAGAGGAGGCAGCCGGGAGGGATCAAGTGGCTTTCCCCACATGATGGAGCCGGGGAGTGGAGGAGCGGGCCTGCCCTCTCAGGTCAGTCCTCTGTCTGCTTCCTGATGACTAAATCTGCTGTTTTTCTGTGACTCAGGGTAGTTTGCACTTTGGTATTATCGCCATCTACAAGTGTTACACGGTCCAGTCAAAACAATTCTTGTGATGGGCTCCAGACAGCACTTGTCTAAGGCACCCCTGTGATGTTGGTGCGTTCTCTGTGCTTGGAGGTTCACGCTTGATCAGTGTTTGAAACAAGTGGCAATGGCATTTATCTGAAGAATTTGTGATTCTAGTAAGCCAGATTTTTAAATTTTAAGTTTTTTGAGACAGAGCCTGAAGCTGTCACCCTGGGTAGATAGAGTGCTACAGCTCACAGTAACCTCCAGCTCGTGGGCTTAAGCAATTCTCTTGCCTCAGCCTCCCAAGTTGCTGGGACTATAGGTGCCTACCACAATGCTCGGCTATTTTTCGGTTGTAGTTGTTGTTTGTCAAGCCTGGGCTGGATTCGAACCTGCCAGCTCTGGTGTATGTGGCTGGCACCTTAGCTGCTTGAGCTACAGGTGCTGAGCCAACAAGATTTATTTTATTTTATTTTATTTTATTTTTTTTTTGAGACAGAGCCTCAAGCTGTCCCCCTGGGCAGAGTGCCGTGGCATTACAGCTCACAGCAACCTCCCACTCCTGGGCTCAAGCGAGTCTCCTGCCTCCGCCTCCCAAGTAGCTGGGACCACAGGCGCCCGCCACAACGCCCGGCTATTTTTTTGGTTGCAGCCGTCATTGTTGTTTGGCGGGTCCGGGCTGGGGATTCGAACCCGCCACCTTAGGTGTACGTGGCTGGCGCCTTAGCCCGTTGAGCTATAGGCGCCGAGCCACAAGATTTTTTTTAAAAGAAAGGAATAATTTTTAAAAATTGTGAGTAGAGCTAGAATAAAAAAGTTTATTTTAATGGACTAATGAAAATTAATATAAAGACTTAGCAAAGATATCCTAAACTTACACCTTTTCCCCACTGCCTTGTATGGCAGGCTAAACTAACACCTTCACTTGAAGACTTTGCCCTAGCTGATGGACAAGATTTGGGTTATTAAATACTCAGCTTGTTGCTATGGTTATTTTACATGTTTTTGTACTTGATTAAAGTTGATGTATAACTGTACCTAATACTACTAACACTTTGTTTAAAATGTGGCAAGCTTTGTTTTTGGACAGTTTTAGATGCATAATTTTATGTAATTCTTAAAAGCAAAGGTTGGTTATGTTTCATTTAGGAAGTTTTAATTTTCCCATTTAGTTTTGATTTCTTGAAATACCGCTGCCCTTTATTTTTTATGGAAGAAATTAATGATGCATGTTAAATGATGGACAGTTATTCACAGCAAAGTTGAAGCTTTGATTAAGATTTGGTATCCTGTGCTTTATTATGGTACTTTATCAAGGTTTTGAGGGAAATTTAGTTAACACTAGTTTGAAGACAGTGGTTTGCCTTTGAAGTCCAATGGAGATAATTAGATTCTCATTTAAAGCAGTTCCCCCCTCCCTGCTTCCACGTGGACTTGGAGACTCCTTGCTGCTGGTGGTGAAATAAGCTTGTGTTCTGCAGGCACAGTCGTGGCTGACATTAAATGAGGATTGACTTGAGGTGCTTTCTGCTGCACTTACTGTGAGCTTTATGTTCAGAGGTCATCTGTATTCTCAAAACGGACCCTGCCTCCTTTGCTAATGTGGTGTCACGCCCCCGTGCTCGTTAGGGGCTCAGCTCTTGTGTGTCTCTCAGTGGCCACATTTTTTGCCAAGTACTGTTGCTCCAATCTACGTTACTCTGACGTAGCATTTTTGAGATAAACTGCTTTGCTGAATATTCCTGCTCTGTTTATGTGAGAAAACTCTGAGAACCATGATAAAGGTTAGAAAAAAGATAATGGTTGAATTAACTGAAACTGAGTAGGCTAAGGTTTGGTTGAAATTGAAACTTTTTTTTGTTGTTTTTTTTTGAGACAGAGTCTCACTCTGTCACCCTGGGTAGGGTGCCTTGGTGTCATAGCTCACAGCATCCTCAGACTCGTGGGCTCAAGGGACTCTCTTGCCTCACCCTCCTGAGTAGCTGGGCCTACAGGTGCCCACCACAACACTTGGCTAAGTTTCCTACTTTTAGTAGGTATGGGGTCTTACCTTGCTCAGGCTGGTCTCCTGCTTGCTCGGATGATCCACTAACCTAGACCTCCCAGGGTGCTGGGATTGTAAGTGTGAGCCTCTGTGCCGGGCCTGAAACCATTCTTCATCTGGGATGTAGAGAATTTGTTAATTTTGAAAAGTTTTTTATTTGGGAAGCTGTGAGTTTTTTCTTTCTTTTGTTCTGTTTTTGCAGTATCTACTTTAGAGTTTGTGGTATATTTTGGCATTGCTTCTAATTTTACATGAATTAAGGAAATTTAAGAGAGTATAGGAAAATTTTTATCAACTTCTAAGGTTTTTTTTTGTTCATGTTTAATACATACTTGAATGGGTTGTATTATATTTGCCATTGCACATTTCAGATATTTACTCCTCAAAACATAGTGAGCTACAGTTCTTTCTGAAGGTGTGTAAGAGGGTGAAGTAGAATGGTGCTACCCTCTTGGGGGCTCAGATGCTTTTGGTTGTCTAACTAGCAGCTGGTAGAATCAGGAGTTGAATTCAGGCCTTCTGACTTCTGAAGTCTAGTAATGTTGTTTTTTTTTTTTTGGACAGGGTCTTACTATGTTGTGGTAGAGTGCCGTGGCGTGACATCACAGCTCACAGCAACCTCAAACTCTTTGGCTTAGGCGATTCTCTTGTTTTAGTCTCCCAAGTAGCTAGGACTATAGGTGCCTGCCACACCGCCCTGCTGTTTTTTTGTTGTAGTTGTCATTGTTTGGCAGGCCTGGGCGGGGTTGGAAACCACCAACACTGGTGTATGTGGCAGGCACCCTAGCTGCTGAGCTATAGGCACCAAGCCTGAAGTCTAGTAATTTTCACTAAATGTGGTATATGCTGAATTTTGAGAAACATCAACTTATTAGTTTATTTTAGTTCAGGTTGGACATCCCAAATGCAAAATATTAAATGCTCTAAAATCTGAAATTTTTTTGAGTGCTGAAGTTGTGGTCTAACGAGATGCTCTTTGGAGTATTTCAGATTTTCAGTTTTGGGATATGGGATGTTCAACCGGTATAGAATGCAGAAATTCCTACATCTGAAAAACATCTGCAACTTGCACCACATCTAGCCCAGGTATTTCTTTTTTTTGAGACAGAGACTCAAGCTCTCCCCCTGGGTAAAGTGTTGTGGCATCACAGCTCACAGCAACCTCCAACTCCTTAGCCCAGGTATTTCTGATGAGGGATGCGTGATGGTTCCTAAACACGCTTTAACTTGCGTGTGTAGACTAAGGTATTAACTGAGAAGGGGACAAGGAGGCAGTACTGGACTGGGGGCATTTTTTTTTTTGGCAGTTTTTGGCCGGGGCCGGGGTTGAACCTGCCACCTCTGGTATATGGGTCCTATGGGGCCTGTGCCCTATTCCTTTGAGCCACAGGCACCACCTGACTGGGGACATTTTTCATCTTCTGTGAGGCAGTGAGTGGGTTGTCAGACAAGCCAAGTCTCTAAGGGAGCTCATTTTAAAAAGCCAAACTATGCTTTTTTTTTTTCTTTAGAGATTGTACTAAACACAATATATTAACTTGTTGTATGAGGGACCTTATGTTTAGTGTGAATAGTAACAAATTTGACATTTCTATATAGTTTCTATAGATAAAGTATTGCTTTTTGATTAAAAATAAAAAACCTGAAATTCAACAGATAGTTGTTTGAAATGTAGCAACTTAATCATTTTAAAGGATAGATGTATATATTACTATTGATCAACAACTTATTTGCAAAGGATAGAACTACATCTGACTATCGATCAATATTCTTATTTGGATAGCTAATAGTTACATTTGAACGTTTGATTTTTGTGGTTAGGACCTATATTTAGCTGAGAGAAATAATAAATTGTATAAAGTTAGAGGTCTAAGTGAAAAACTGAATTTCTTTGTAGAAACTAAAGGCATATTTTGAATTCTTTTTTTTTTTTTACGGAGGTCACCACAAGAAATAAACTTGATTTTAGATCTTCCGAGGTTGCTTTGTAGAATGGTGCTTTCAGACTTTGTGATGGGAGTTTTTTATTGGGAAAATGGTTATTGTATTTAATGGTGTAAATAGTCATAAGCATATCATATTCCTGATTCTCTTTCATATTTTCAGTGGCTATTTGACAAAACCAGAATTAGGTCAAACTTAAATTAAAAATAAAGTAAAATAAAATAAATTTGATCTAATTTTGATTTTATCAAATACTGTATTTCTTTGGGAAAAAGGTTGTTAAGCAAATTAACCATTTGTAAATACAATTTGAAGGCTGATATTTACCTAAGATTTCTTTCAGGCACATCAGGAGAGGCCCTTACAGTGCATTGATGAGGTATTACAGGTGACTCTTCACTGTTACAGCTTGTCAGCCACAATCTGCTCTAAGTTGAGATGACATACACCCTTCTTAGTACTGATGTATGTGTTAATATTTAGATTTCTGACCCTCCGACTGGACTGTTCTAGGGTGAGTAAAATAATACACGTTTTACTCATGGGGGAAAAATGCTCCATAGATTATCTGTGGTACAATAGATGACCTAGAGATACCAACTTTTAAAA